AACCTCAGTGATTCTGTGATTCTGTGATTTACTTTTACTGCTACAATTTATCAAGGGCTATTCCAGTTTATCCAGTGTGCATGACACATGGTGAGGTAGATTAAGACTGGAACTTTATCACTGTTAATACCAAACAATTAGGCAAGAAAATGTGGAATACACCTTTGGGAAAATATCAGCCATTTTAACTACACACAAGTTTATTGTTGATGGATTTTTTCCATACAATCACAGCATTGCAAAAATCCTTTAATCAGAAACCAATTTTTTTATCATGTTTCTTTCTCAGTGTCTAGGTTTTTTTAAAGATTTTTCTTGATTTTTTGGACTTTCTTTCTGTTTAATTCTTAATCCTGCCCCTTACCACTATTTTTTGTGCCTGGTTTTAGGAGAATTTTGCTTGTTGCTCTTCACCCACTAATGCCATTTCCTCATTTGAAAGTGAATAATAGTTACCTACTCTTTGAATACAACAGCAGCTGTAGCGACTTTTGAGCACCTATCTTATGGTGATACCATAATTCTTTACTTGCTGGTAAGAAACTAATGTAGGAATTTGCCTTGGACAAAATACATAGAATCTACTGTTTATTTCTCATCTAGTAGGGGCTTTACACTGTTAGTGACCCAATATATTTTTGAAAAATCCAAATTTTAGTAACCTTTAGCTTTTAAGGACTCAGAAATGGATAGCGTATTACAGTTGTTCAATCTAGATGCTAGACCTAGAAAGATTAGAACACAGAAAATTTCAGCTTTTCCCCTTTCCTGAAAAAGGTAGATCTTCCCCTTGCTGTAGTTTTCTGACGCTCCTCTGACTTATGTGATTTCTTTTTTAAAATAACTGCCCATGTTTCAAAGGTTACTTGAAAGAGTATTTTTTGCGTGTATAACTTGCCTTTCAGGTAACTTGCATCCATTTAAACATCACGCAGATGATCTAATACTTTTGATAACTCTTGCCAGTTAGACACTAGATACTATAGAGAGTTAGAGGAGAAAGAGAAGTACCAGAGCAAAAATTTCATCATAATATTACACATGCGTATAACTCACAGTGCTGAGGAAACAGGAGTCATTCTTTAGTTTGGTGAGGCTTTTTTGTGTTCTACAAATAAACACAGTTTCCCCAGATGAAAACACAGTAATTCCTTAAGCGTTCTGTGCTGAATTTCATCAGGCCTCTAACCTGAACTCTCTGACCTCGTATAAATAATTCTTTTCCTGGTTTTTTTAGCCTGTACTTTGCCCTGTAGCCTTATCGTCATGTCAAAATTAATTTCGGGCGTGTTCACAGATCCGATTGCAGGCAGACGACCGTTGTTCCCACGGGGAGCCAGCTGGCCGGAGGCCAGCCCCGGCCACGTTGCAGTGCTTGAGCTGACGAGCTGCCCTTCTCAGCAGGTCCCAGCAAATGCCTCCGACCGCCACGCTGGCAGGGTCGCGGCTTGCAGTTCCGAGGCAGCTTCTGCCTGCCCGGTTCAGAGCATCAGCCAGGAGAGCTCACGCCTGTGTGTCATTCCCTGGGCAGAAAGACTTTACCTGACCACAGTCTCCCGCTTCCTGGAGACTCAAAAAAGGAAGGCATTTAATAATCTTCTGTACTTATCTGTACTCACTGTTATTTGAACCCCTTCCTCATGTTGTAATTGTTGTCTTTTGCTGGGCTTTCTCTTTGGCTTACCTTATTGAAACCTTTTATTGTGACTTATCCTGTGCTTTGTTAATTAAAACTCATGTTCTGTTTTAACTTTTCTGCTTTTATCTCCAGAAGCATCATGGTGCAAGGAGGTTTAGACTCATCCTTAGCAACACAGCATTAATTTGTGCTTTTTCCATGATCTCTTTTTCATGTTTAGTTGATTGGAGATTATTAGTGTGGTTACACCAGCCTGTCACTACACTTTCTTTCTAAAGATACTTGGACATCTAGTACAGTCTCTTTCAAAAACTGCCATCTCCCTTCCATCTCTTTGTCCCTCGGTTTACTTTCCCGAGAGACCTCCTCTGCCTGTTCTCTGAGCCTGCTGGCCCTCATGCTGCTGTGCTCGTCTTTGCAGAACACCAGTCTCATCCTGCAGTCGCTTTCATTCCGAGTACTACGCACCTGCAAAGTCTTGCTCAGGTATTCTCTAATGGAACAAAATCTTTGAATTAGCTTCTGTTAGTTTCTTTTTTACCCTTTAACTCATTGCTGTTGCTTGATTAAATAGCAAGTTCTAAATCACTCTTATTAAAGTTGATGGGTCATTGTTACAGTAGAGATTTTTCACAATGTATATTTAACCTGACAGTAGGTGTGAATGTGTCACCCTTCAGCCCTGATGGTTTCCAGATTAACGTTAAAACAGTTTTGAGGGAATTGGGCAGCAAAAGCTGTTTCCATTTTTGCAGCTGGGAGATCATTGAAAAAAAAACAATAAAAAACAGAGTAAAGCAGAAGATTTTCCTATAGAAGCACCTGTGTTTTGAAATACCACTCAGACCAGTCCACATATTTAATAGGATTAATTCTACTGCTCAGATAATATATCATTCTCTGTGTGTGTATGTGTATATACGAATGTTATGTATAAAATACTCTAATCTTTTATATTTTAACAAAAAGTTACAATTTAAAAAATTAAGTTATTTGTATAAAAAATGCCTATATGGTTTTATAGTCTTCATTTGGTGGAAATGAATTATTTTAACAATACATTTAGAACAGTTTTAATAAGTATAGTATTGATCCAGTTATTGATACTTTTTTTGGATTTCCATTAAAAAATCACATTTAAAATCACTATTGGTAAACAATTAGGGAAAAAATAGACTTCAACAAATGAAAAGAACTTTGATAACTTTATGAAAACAGGTTGTGTTTAGTGGCATTTTTAAACAAATAACTCTTAGGAAAGAGTATTGAAAATTAATATATACTAATGAAAACTCTCCAAAATCAAGAACTGAATGTTCCCCAAAGTATATTTTGTCTTTTCACCTTCTAAAACTGATTCTTCAGGACATGTGAGAGGTATGTTGCTAGGGAAGATGAAAAAGACTACCTAACCTTGTGGGTTTTGTTCCCTTAACTTTAAGAATAAAAAGAACACTTTGTTCTTCTTTTTCAATGCCATTCTGACACCACAGTGATAAACAAGCGTACAAAAGTAATTTTCTGGTTTTATGCCTATTTCAAAACTGCCAAGTTAACAATATAATAGATCTACCAAAAATGTAAATTGACTCTGAAAGCCAGTATCAATCCAAGGACTGTATAATGCTTGCATTGACTAACTTGAGTTCCCTACTTTTTTGTTTTGTCTATAGACACCCTATTTTTGGCCATCAAATTGTTGGGAGCCGGAAAACACAGACTATGGTCAGTGTAGAAAACTTTCCTCTTTCTTTCGGGAATTGTGTATTATATGAATGAACGCATCATTGCAGTCTGTCTTGTTTAATCATCCCACTGTTAAAACCATAATTATATGTCATGTAAATCCTGTGAAAGAACTGCAGATATTGAAATGAATGTGTTTTCACTTTTTTCAATTAGAAGTTTATTAATCAGTTTTGGAGTTGATCTGAGGAAAAAGAAAAAGCCCCAAAACTCATCAAAACCTACCTTGCTATTTACAACTTCTGTTTGCTCCAGGAAGTGTAATTATTTACAGTGACAAAGTTTCAGTGAAGCTGAGGATATTTTGTTGGTGATTGCGCAATAGTTATTCTCAAATTCAGACCCAAAGATGTATCTAGTTTAGATATCTTATTTCTGATATACACCATGTAGAAAATTATTTATTATGGAAACTAGTATGGTTCTGATATGAACTATATTAGAAAATGCCTTGCTTATTTGCCTGTTTCTTGGGGTTTTATTCATAAATTGCACATTGTAATTAGTGGTGTGTTTAGAAAAATCTGAAGATAATAGATAGTAAGGTATGACCAAAAAAAAAAAGAAAAATTATAGGCAAAATTAGGTGCCTCTGTACACCAAATAGTGACCTAATTTTCAAAGAAAATGGATTATCTATGAGCAGTCTCCTGTTCGTTCTAATCCAGACTGTAAGTATTCAGCTCATCTGAAGACCAGCTGACTTATTTAGGTAACTAACCATGTACATGATAGCTTACCTTTTCAAAAACTCAACCTTTGCTAGTGTCTGTTTACTGCTTTTGGGAAGTTTACATGTGTGTGCACTTGTAATGTGGATTCAGTCTCAGCCCTTGGGAGCTGAAGACTGCAGGGATGGATGGTTCCAATAGACGCTTCCTTCCTTTCCACAGTGAACACAGTTTAATTTCAAATACATTGCTAAATAAAACAGTTTCAATCTGAGACTCTCAGCAGAGCTGAGTGCCTTCGAGGTAGAGTTTGAAAATGGTAACTGTTTCCTCATCCTATAGAAGCAGAAAAATGTTCACCTTTCTTTAAAATACCAAGATTTGAAGATGCTCAGCAAATAGTTATTGAAAGCTACAAAGGAAGAGTAATTCATACCACAACTGAATGATTAACCACTCCCTATGAGTAAATTAGTTACTGAAGGAGAAATGCTTCATTTACCACTTTTTCCTTTCCTTGAAGATGTTATTTGCTTTTCTCAGAGGGTCATTTCAATATGGTCTCCTAATATGTTAAAGATCGGAAAGTAATTTACTGTGGTTTTAAGAGACATTGAGTTGTTCAGCTGTAATGTGTATTACATTACCAGGGGGATTTTAATAAAAAAATATATGCTTAACAGATCTGAACTTGAGATCAGGCTGAGAAAGTTTCTATTAATATCCTTTAATCTAAATTAGGAGACACTAACTTTCTAGTCACAGCGGATCACTGGACTGGGTAATGAATTACATACCTTAGTCAGTAAATAGAAATCTTATATAATCTGTCCAGTTTTTGCATACCAGAAATACAGAATTAAATGAACAGTTAATATACTCATTTGAGAGCTTTGGAGATTTAAATATAATACCTGTGAAATATGTTCCAGTTGGTGAATTTAAGCTCTTCTGTTGCAGAGGGGCGAAGGAAGAAAGCCCCAACCCTGCCATCTCATTGTCCCTTCCGAGTCATGAGCTAGCGGTGTAAACCTCTATGAAACCCGCACGCAGCTCCCCCATGCAACAGGGTCAGAGCGTTGCACTAGATCTACCCAGGATGGCTGTGTCACCAGAATTGGCTAATGCTAGAGCATTCACAGGAAAATAAATTTTTAAGACAACTTTTCAGTAGTGTTGTTATTAATTTAGCATCTTCCCAGTCCCAGAAATGAGCATTTGCCTTGTGGCCTGAGGATTTTTTCACAATACCTTTCTATGAATATAAAGAGAGGGCAGAAAAGGGGAGAACTGGATACAGTTACTGCTATCAAAAAGAATCACATTACGTTTGTTACAACAAAACATTGTTTAATGTTGTAAACAATGGTCATCAGAGGAATACAGAAGAATAAAACAAATAATATTCAAGAATCCAAAATAAATCTAAAGTGGGATTTCAGGAATTTGAGGGTATTAAAGGATAAATTCTACCTCAAATACACTCCAAAGAGGTTCTGCAGATTTTCACAGTAATTCTGTACTTCCTCGAAAATATAATAAATATAGTTTATGTTATTGCAGATATGCAAATGCATGTTGTACTTGTCATGAATTATGGTTCTGTGCAGTGCTTCCATTTTCATGGATTTGTCCTGAACAAGCTTGAAACTGCACCTTCTTAAACTAACGTCTGTGGTGGGCATTAGGAATCTCTCATGGCCAGTAGGCTTTCTCTGTAATCTTCCTTTATCAAAATTATTAACAAAGCAAACCACTTTCTTTGGCATTGACCTAATTTTATGAGTCTTTGAAAACACAGTACAATTTTATTTTAATTTAAAAATTACTCCCAACCATTTGCCATTACTCATCCATAGCTGGGCTACTGTCCAGAATGTAGCATACTGCTAGGAAAATAATTAACATTAAACTAGAATTTAAATAAGATTGAGATACTGTATGTGTTAGTTTATTGCCAGAGCTAACACAGAAACAAATCATCTTTACATACTTGAATAATATATTAAAATCTTCCCTAAAATACAATTTCTTGTTCCATATAAGCTTATAATATCAAATATTTTCATTTAAAAAGATTTATATGAAGAAAATATGAAGAAAAAAGACATGAAAACAGAATCTTCCAAAATATCAAGAAACTGCAGACCCGTTCCCATAATAATGCTGTAGTGCAGTGCTACATGGTAGTGTCAAAAAGAGGGCTTGGATTAATTTATTATATATCAAAGTGGAATTGTGTAGCCTTTGGTTTTGATTGTAACTATCAAAATATTGACCATCTGATCATTCTGAGGTTACTAAGAAACTGTTAATTTTCACAGTGCTGAAACTCTCCCTCCCTTTTGCTTGAAAATCATGCTATAAGAGATCTCAAGAGAGATGCCTCAAATTGCAAATAATTTTTAAAAAGGCAGGTTCTTAGGTTCCATCTGTTGAAGATACGCATTTTAATGCCATATGTCTTGCAGTCCACCCATGCAGGACATGTTGTTCTGTGCAGAATCCCATTGGTTTCAGTGAGATTTTATTAATGGAAAAGTATGATTATGATTGTGATTATGATTATGATTATTATTAAAAGCCAGTGTATTTAGAATCACTTTGCATTTCCCGGGAGTTAAGTCATGTTCCTGACTGATGATTTGGTTTTGTGGCAAATAGAATTGGATCTCAGTTCAGAAAACTGGCTCTGGAAGTGAATGCAGCTGATGGCTGAGCATGCGACCTACCTGTAATCACCTTCTTTTTCCTTACAGATGTAATTTTTTTCTGACAAATTGAAAACAGATCATGTCATTAAGAATTAATTAAATATGGAGACTTGTTAAGTCCATTGTATCTCAGAAAGGGGAAATATAATGCCATATATGAAATTGTTATTCCCTATGTATTTAGCCTCAGTTCTCATGGAACCCATCAGGTTCTCTTGGAGGTTTAGTGACTCACAACTGTTGCAAATTTGAGAAATTCAGTTCCTTACTATTCTCTTTTTCAAATGAGGTAAATAAGAAATACAAAAGGTTAGGGAAAAATTCCATTCACAAGAAAATGGCAATTATTTTTTGTGTTTGAAAAGCTCAAGTCTAAGCCTAAGCAAACAAATGAACACCGTTGTGACAACGTAAGAGGCTTTTCAGAATTTCAGATATATAAGATATGAGGAAGAATTAGTAATTTTTACTCATTTTCTCCAGTGCACTTTTGTTAATGGTTAGACTCAAAAGTGACATACAGATATTTGGTTACATTCAGTTACATTTTAATATGCAGTTAACATTACAGTTACCTGCATATTAAAAAAGATGTTCAAAGGAGAGACAGAATAAAATTTTGAAAGGGCCACAGTCACTTATAGTCTTAAAAAGGTTTAGAGTAATACTGGAAGACAACACTCAACTGCATCAGTATAGTTGCAAGAGGATGCTGTTTCAGCCTTGTATTTTCACGTGTGTTCATTTTTCCCAAATGAGTTAAAAATGGAGGTGGATTGCAGAATCTTGGTAGGTTATGGAGAACACAGTAAATAACTGACAATGCAATGGGAGTTTAAGAGCACATGACCTTGTGATCTGTAAATGATGCTAAATGAGACTATTTTTCTATATATTCAAAGAAAATTCTTAAATTCTGCTGCTGTGAATAAGGACAAGTTTTGAAAATGTATGTATTTTCAGTAGCCTACCAGGTAAAGTCATGTGTTATATAGGCAATCTTCTAGCACTTACAGGAAAAAAAAAAGGCGCCTTAATTAATTGGTTCCTTTAAAAATGTAAGCTCCCTGTCTGGATAAGTGCTGGCTCTAAACTTCTGTGGTGGTTCTATAGATATTCATGACTCTTATTCAGTCTGAGTTACAGTAAAATGAGGAAACCACCTACTTTTGTTATGTGAAAGTTGTCTCATAGCTGTTGTTCTCCGGAATTTTTATGAAAGCAAAATTCTGTCCTTTTTAAATTCTCTTGATAATCAGCTAACAAGTCAGTCCACACAAAACTTCCTTCCTAATGATACCTTCTTATCTCTTAAGAGTAAACCGAGAGCGACCTCTCCGAGTTCAGCCTCTTCTGAACACGAGCCATCGCACCTGGCTCATCTGCCTCTCCTCTGCCAAACTTGGAGTCATGCTAAAGAGTACATAGTGCACAAAAAGTAATTGCAACCATCTATCATGTTTTTCACATATTGAAAATTTGCCTACTTACTGTCTCGCTTCAAATCCCTCTGTGAAAATTCGATTAGTTCAGGAATTTTCTCTTGTTCATCTTGCTGCACCCTTTTCCATGGAGTAACTGGCTAGAAGGAGAA